CTCAAATCTCTTCTTTGGGGTCATGCATGTAGTTTGTAATTTTGCAACACCCACTTGTATTTTTTCTTGTATAATGCTTATTTAAAAATAAGTTTTTATTGATGTCTCCTTTTTTTCATCATCACAGTTATCCCCAATATCTCTCCTTCTCCCCCTCCCAGAGATCCATCCCATATAGCAGCAACATTAACTGATAATGGTTTTGTGATAACTATTCTTTCCATTCACATCATTCTAGTCATTGTATATATTGTTTCCTTGACTCTACTTATCACCATTTTTCAGTTCTTGTAAGTTTTTCCTTACTTCTTTGTATTCATATCTATTATTTCTTATAGCCTTAGATACTTCCTCACTGTATGATCTAGGGCAAGCCACTTAACCTCTGTTTACCTCAGTTTCCTCAACTGCACAATGGGAATATAAGAGCACCTACCTCACAAGGTTGTTGTGAAGATCACATGAGGTATTTGTACATCACTTAGCACAGTGCCAAGCACATAGTAGGTGCTATAAAAATGCTCATTTTGTTTGCTTCCCTTCCCCAAGTAGTATTCTGTTGCATTCATGTACCACAATTTGTTTAGCCATTCCCTAATCAATGAAAATCTACTTTGCTACTACAAAAAATGCCACTAGAAATATTTTGGTGCCAATGACCTCTTAATTGCCAAATCTAATGGCTTTTTCTCAATGATCATCCTTCTCAACCTCTGATGCTGTCGATCCTCACCTTCTTTTAGACGCTCTCTCTTTTCTCAGTTTTTGTGACACTGCTCGCTCCCAGTTTTCCTCGTACAAGTCTGGCTGCTCCTTATTATTCTCTTTTGGTGAATCTTCATCCAGGCCATGCCCGTTAACTATGGGTATCTATCAACATTTTGTCCTGAACCCTCTTTTCTTCTCCATCTATATTTCTCTTGATGATCTCATCAGCTCCCATGGTTTTTATTACTATCTCTATTCCAATCAAATCTAGTTGTCCAATCACAACCTCTCCCCTGATCTCCAGTCTCCCATTTCCAATTGCCAATTAGATATCTCAAACTAGATGTCTCAGAGACATCTTAAACTCAACATGTCCAAGAATGACCTCATCATATTTTCCCCCAAACCCTCTCATCTTCCTAACTTCCCGATTACTGTAGGGGGTTGGGAGGACCTATTCTTCTCCCAACCTAGATACCATTCTCCATTCCTTAGTCACATAAACCCCATATAGTTTGTCTATTGCCAAGTCTCATTGTTTCTACCTTTATGACATTTCTTGTATATGCCCCCTTCCCTCTGCCATAGCCATTACTCTGGGGCAGGTCCTCAGCACCTCACAGCTGGACTAATGCAGTAACCTTAAGGCTGGTCTCCTTGCCTTGTCTCTCCTCATTCTATTTCATCCTTCACTGTGAAGCCAAAGTAATCTTGGTAACTTCAGGTCTGACCATGCCACTCCCCTACTCTGTAAACCCCAGTTGCTCCCTATAATCTCCAGGATCAAATATAAAATGATCTTTTTGGCTTTTAAAGCCCTTTCTGCTGTTGGCCCTTTTCAGCCTTTTTGTACTTTGGGTCCTTGCACACACTCTATCGTCTAGTGACACTGGCCTCCTTACTGTCCCTCATATGTGACATTCCATCTTCTGATTTCATGCCTTTTTGCTTGTGGCAGCTTGTCTTCAGCTCCTGGCTTCTTTCAAGACTTTAGTCAGATTCTACCTTCTGCCTTTTCCAATTCCTTTCAGTGCTAGTACCTTCCCCCTGAGATTATCTCTAATCTGTCCTGATATGTCTTATATGTACATAGGTGTTTGCATATGATCTTTTCCATTAGTGTGTGAACTCTTTGAGGGCAGGGAAAGTGTTTTTGCCTTTCTGATTAGCACGGTCCTTGGAACATAGTAAATGTTTACTAAATGCTTGTTAAATGACTTGACTACCTCTTATTTCTATGAAAAACACGAAAATCCATGTAAAATTCTGAATATCCTTCCTCTCTTGTTGTAGGAGGCCGTGGGAAAGATGGCGCCCCAATCATAACCTTCCCTGAGTTTGCAGGCTTCAGTGAAATCCCTGATGAAGATTTCCTGAATGTTGTGACTTACTTGACCAGCATCCCCAGGTAAGCCAGGATGGTAGACTCTTCCCTCCTCTGTGTGTGTGTGTGTGTGTGTGTGTGTGTGTGTGTGTGTGTGTGTTCTCTGGCTGTGTATAAGGGCAAAGAGGGAATTTTTCTTCCACACTAGTGCATTTCTCATGAATGAGCTGATCACTTCAGTGAAGGAGATACCATCAGAACTTGAGCGAGAATGGAATAGAAAAACAAGAATGTTGATGAGTCTTGATGCCTAAAGTTACATATTTAGAACTGGAAGGAATCTTAAAGGACATCTAATAATAGATGAAAGCTACCAGGGAACCTGGAAGTCATTAAATCCAACCTCCTCATTTTACAGGTGAGGAAACTGGGTCACAGAGAAGTTAAGGGACTTAACTAAGGCCACACAGCTACTAAGTCTCTGAGGTGGAATTTCAAGCCAGGTCATCATAACTTCAGATCCATTATCCTATCTAATACATCATACTGCCTTACCATTCTAAAGGCAGGATGATATGGTAGATAGAAAACTCAGTTTTGAAGTCAGGAGAAACTTGGGTTCAAATCCTGGTTTTGACATTTGATAGCTTTGTGACCCTGGGAGAGTCATTTAGTGTCTCTGAGGCTGTTTCCTCATCTATAAAATGGGGATAACAATATTGTCAACATCTATGACCCAGGTTTGTTTGGGGTGGGAGGAAGAATGAACTTTGCAGAACTTAAAGCACTATAAAATGTAGAGAAACACAGTTCATCTGGGATACCTGCCCTATAGCTAAGATGTCCTTTGGTAATCTCCTTTTTGGAAATTTCTTTTTTCAAACACTGTAAATGTTTTATGAGAAACAATATTCAACACTCATCCATGCAAACGGCAATCTTTGCTTGATAAATATTTGTATTTAAATTCATTAATTTGAATGTGTAAAATGCCCTGACACTTTCCAGCCCTTCCAGGTGCCCCTTCATTTTTCCTCATGTGACTAGAATTAATATGTACTATCCCATTCTTCTAGGTCTACTTTTTCTATTTTGTTTTTGAATTATCGCGTAAAGGTCTTTGGAGGTTTCTGTTTCATTATAAATTTCATCATTCCTTTATTGTGCAACATTAGGTGGCTCTTAGGGTTTTTTTCCAATACATAAAATGGGGATTTTTTGAATACCTGGCTCTTTTTTTGTAGTTGTTATTGTTTTTGGTAACACTATCAGAGTATACTCCAAACAATGTAACTATTGGTTCAAAGGGTGTGATTATTTTTATGTGTATTGCTGGTTTACTCTCCAGAAAGATTCTACAATTTTGCAGTTTCATCACTAATGAATGACTGAATTTTTTTTCCTCCAAAATCCCACCAGAATTGAGATTCTTTGTTTTTAGTTGTTTTTGCTAAGTTGATGGGTGTGAGGTGGTACCTCCAAGATGCTGTAATTTATATGTTGTGTTCCCTACTAGAATACAAACCATTTGAAGGAAAGGGCACTTTTGGTTTTTGTCTTTGGATCCTTAATGCCTCACCTTTTTTTTTGTTTGTTTGTTTGGTTTGGTTTGTTTTTGAACTGTACTGAATTTTACCATATTCTCAATAAGGGAACTTATCTGCCAACGCAGATGAGCAAATATTGTGCAACTAATTGTTTTAGAAGGAGTTACTCGGGTGCTTTGAGACTTGAAGAGAAACCAGTATATGTTAGACATGGAACTTGAACTCAGGTTTCCTTAACTGCTCTTCATTCATTGTACGTGTTGTCTCTGTCCTTCCACGTGTTAGTCCCTTAATAAGTGCTTGCTGAGTTGAATTGAATTGACTGGAATTCTCTGATTAATTATTAATGAATTTTTAAGTTTGGGGCTTATAATATATTTGTATTTGGATCTATTTATGTATGTATAGCATGTGCATATGAATATATGGAGAGAGAGACACAGAGAGAGAGAGAGAGAGAGACAGAGAGACAGAGACAGAGACAGAGACATGGATGGCTTCTTGCCCACTTAGTTGGCAGGCATTGTGTCCTTTCTTAGAATGCTGCTTGTCTTTGAAGAAAGAGCAATTGTCAGTCCTATTTGTTCCATTCATCTCTTTCACCCCATCATTCTCTTTTACTTCCCTTCTACTCTTCATCCCACCTCTGGCATCTTGGCAAAAAAAAATGGGGGATGAAGGAGAAGACTTGAGATATGGGAATTGGAGTGGCTGGTTTCCAGCTTTCAGTTGTGTATAGATCAGAATAAATGCCTTGGCCAGTTCCGTAAGTTCATGGATTTGTGGTATTCCAAAAGATTGGCTCACATGTCTCCATGAGGGCACTAGTGCCTGGTAAGATACTATGGCACTTGACATATCAGATGTTCTGAAGTCAGTGGGAACAGGGCTCCAGACCCCAGAGGAACCCTTCCTACTTGGTCTTTCATTCAATAAACATTTATTAAATGCCTGCTATGTGCCATGTACCATTCTGGGTCCTATGGGGAAGATGTTCCTTCGATACAATAAGAGTATTTCACTGCTGGCCAGCCTCTCTCCGCTGGTACAGATCACAGTTGTAGGATCATAGCTTTAGGGCTAGAAGGAAGGGACCTTAGTGGAAATGTAGTCCAACCTCTTTGTTTTACATATGAGTCAACAGATACAGAGAAGTTTTATAAAGCTAATAGGATCTTCATCTACATTAAGAGGGCTAGAGCTTCCAGGAACAGGGAGGAGGCACTCCCATTGTTCTTTTGGGCCTCTTTGACTTCACTTGGAATGTTGGGTTCAGTTCTAGGCACAGCCTTCTTTCCATTGGCAAAGATCACAGTCATAGAATCATAGCTTTAGGGTAGGAAGAGACCTTAGAAGCTACCTGGTTCAACTTCTTCATTTTACATGGGAGGAAACTGAGACCCAGAGACATAGTAGGTGCTTAATAAATGCTCGTTGACTGACTGGCAGAAGGGCCTTGAGCTCATACCATATGATGATTGCTTGAACAGATCAGGCATGTTTGATTTGGAGAAGAGAAAACTTAGGGGGAACATGAGAGCCACCTTCAAGAATCTGAAGGCAACTGTCACATGGAAGAGGGATAACCCTTATTTTCTTTGGTCCCAGAGGGCAGAACTTGGAGCAATGAGTAGAGGTTGCAAGGAGACCAATTTAGGCTCAATGTCAGGAAGAACTTCTTAAGATAAGGGCATCTAAATGCCATCTGGGATGGAGTGATGGACCTAGACTTAAGAAGATTTACCAGCTATGTGACCCTGGGCAAGTCATTTAACCCTTTTTGCCTCAGTTTGCTCATCTGTAAAATGAACTGGAGAAGGAAGTGGCAAACCACTCCAGTAACTTTGGCAAGAAAACCCCAAATGGGGTCACAAAGAGTCACATATGACTGAAAATGACTCAATAACAACAATAATCAGGGCTATAAAATCTCAAAGGAAGAAAGGAGTCTTCAAGTGGGGAGATATTATTGGATCTGGGCTTTGGAGGATGGGTAGATTTTTATTTGTTAATTTACAAAACGTATGTATTACATACCTACTCTGTCATGTGCTGTATTTTGGTAGGTAGAGAGATAAGAGAGAAAGACATCATGTGGAAATAAGGATGTGAGCAAAGGCCAAAAGGTGGGAAAGAAAAACGAGCAGAATTTCGGGTTGGGAACAGATCACAGAGGTAACTCAATCCAGTACGTGGTGTGATGGGAAGGCACTGGCTCTGAAGTCAGAGGAGCTGGGTTCAAATCCTGCTTCTGACCCTTACTCCTTAGGGGACCTCAGCCAAACCTTTTCTCTTCATTACTCTGGGCCTCTGAAATGAGGGGATCGGGGCCCATAGCCTCTAAATCAAGCCCAAATTTGCCTTTCCACAATTTCCACCCACTGTTCCTGGGGCCAAGCAGAAAACATCTAATCCTTCTTCCACTGTGACTGCCCTTCAGATATTTAAAGCTATAACCTTCTCACGCACACATCCTAATCATCTCCTTTATAGGCAAAACATCCCCACTTCTTCCAACTGACCCTCCCAGGCCACCCTCCTCTGGACATACTCCAGTTCATGAATGTCCTTCCTAAGAAGTGAATTCTATAACTGAGCAGGATAACACCCTGTGCATTAAGAGTTCTTTAGGCTTGTGAGCAGCTAATGCAGCCACATAGTCATTGATTTCTTGGAAATGCACAGGACTGTCTCAACTATCCTTGCACATCACACTCTTGACTCATATAGAGCTTGGGGCCCACTAAAACCCCCAGATTTTTTTCACATGAACAGTCTCTCCACTAACTCCCACTATCTCACTGTTGTGAAACTGCTATTTCCCAACTGCTCAGATATACAAAGGCAGAGGGAGAGGGAAGAGTCAGAGGAATCAGAGGTTGTTTTCTTAGTAGGATGGTGTCATTAACTGAAATAGGGATGTCAAGAGGAGGAACTGATTTGGCCTAGAAGATCAGGAATATGACTTTATTCAAGTCAAGTCCCTTGTGTCAAGGGAATGTCTAAGTAGAAATACCTAGTGGGCAGTTGGAAATTAAACAGAGATCCACATGTGATCTGGAACTTAAGAGAAGTAGTGATCGAAATAAAATTTTCCCTGAAACTTGCACGTGGAGTTGACAGCTGCCTTGGAGCCTTGGTCCAGGCTGTCTCCAATGCCAGGGATGCCATCTCTCCCTACCAGTACCTCTCAGACTCCCTAACTTCCCTTGAAGTCCCAGTTAAAATCCCACTTTCTACAGTAAGCCTTCCCTCATCCTTCTTAATTCTGGTGCCTTCCCTTCATTAATTATTTCCTATTTATCCTGTACATAGCTTGCTTTCTATATATTTGTTTGCATATTGTCTCCCCTTTAAAGCTCATTGAGCGCAAGGACTGTCTTTTGCCTCTTTTTGTATCCCCAGCGCTTAGTAGAGTGCCTGGAACGTAGCACTTAATAAATGCTTGTTGATTGATTGAAAGCATGGGAGATTGACTACACATGTATAACCAATATCAAATTGTTTTCTGTCTCAGGGACAAGGAAGAGGAAGGAG